GCAGCCGCCGACGGCCACCGCGCGCCACAGCTCGGCGCCGCACGGCGCAGCATGCGGCGGCACACCAGCAACCGGCCCTCCACTGCCCACCCACCGGCGCCAGGCCGTCTATTTCGTCGAAAAAGATGATGGAGGGCTGGTGGCGCTGCGCCTCCTCAAACAGCAGGCGCAGCTGGCGCTCCGCCTCGCCCACCCACTTGGACAGCACGTCGGCGCCCTTGCGCATGAAGAAGGACACCTTCTTGCCCGCGCGGCTGGCGTGCGCGGCCAGAGCGCGCGCCACCAGCGTCTTGCCCGTCCCTGCCAGCACACCGGCGCGCTGCGGTGAGCGCCGCGGGCCGAGCAGAAGCGGGGGCCGCCCGGCCCGGCAGGCAAGCGCAGCGGAAGCAGCCCCTGGCGCGGGTGCGTGGGCGGCCTCGGCGGCGCACCTGGGGGCCCGTAGAAGAGCACTCCGCGGGGCGGCGCGATGTGGAAGCGCTCAAACAGCTCCGGGTAGACGAGCGGCAGGAAGATCATCTCCTTGAGGGCCTGCAGGAGGAGGGGAGGGGGTGGGCGGCAGAGGGGAGCAGGGTGAGGGGACAGAGGGAGGGGCGGGAGGTGGCAGAGGTGAGGGAGGGGCGGGAGGTGGCAGAGGTGAGGGAGGGGCGGGGCAGGCGAGGGCCGGGTGGCGGAGGATAGCGCTTGAGAGGGCGCAGGCATGCGCCAGGCAGCACGTGAGGGGTTGGGCGGCAGGAACGTGGCGGTACAGGCGGTACAGCGCTCACCTTGATGTAGTGGTCCAGCCCGCCCACGGTGTCAAACGTCACAGACGGGTCCACCTGCACTCGCAGGCGGCGCAGCACGCCCCCATGCGCAGCACGTCAGCAAGCGGGTACGGCACCCTCCGCAGCAAGAGCCGTGCCGCAGGTCCCAACTGGTGGTCAAACCCAGCCAATCCTGCTCCAATCTCAAGTTTCAAAGCCAGGGTGCACTTGGCGCCTGGGCCAGGCCGCCCAGCGCACGGCCAGGCAGCTCAGCCGGCGCCCACCTGCAGCGGCGTGATCTCCGCATTGCCCGCCTTCTCCCGCCCCATGTGCGACAGCGGCAGGCTGGCCGCCGCCGACTGAACCAGGTCCCAGGGCGCGGCGCCAGGGGCGGCGCCGCCGCCCGGCATCCCGCCGCCGCCACGGTAGTGCCCCACCGCACGCAGGTCCTCGCCCTCCTCTGGATTGTCCACCTCATCCTCATCACCCCTGTGGAGGCGGGACGCGGGGGGCAAGCGAGGCAAGGGAGGGCATGAGCAGGGAAACGCGCACAGCTCACAGAATGTCGGCGTGCGCCGGCCAGCAACAAGCTGTGCCTCACCTGAGTCGGCCACGGCTGTTGGTGCGGTGCAGGCGGCTGTGGCCGCCGCCGTGCCGCCGCTCGAGGCGGGAGCGCTTGCGCTCGTGGTGGCCGCCACCAGCGGCAATACGGCCGCTGCCTTGGCGGTACAGCCCGCCGCCGCCACCCTGCGAGGGCGGCTGCTGGCTGGCGGGCTTGATGGTGACCAGGGCGCGGTCCCGGAATGAGTACTGCCGCCGCTCCTGCTGCTCCTGCGGTACAGGCACCAACGCAGCAGCAAGCAGCGGCTGGTCGGGCTGCTGAGCAGGCCCCAGGCAGCGGCAGCAGCACATGGCATTTATGCTGGCTGGCCGGCAGGCATGGGCAGGGCAGGCGGGGCGGGCAAGTGCGCCCACCTCCTCGCCAGACTCGTCCGACCTCCCCCGCTCCCGCCGCTTGCCCTCCTCCCGCTCCCGCCGCTTGCGGCTGGGGTGGGGCACGCTGTCCATGGGCTGCTGGCTGCCGAGCTCGCCGTCGTAGCTGACCGGATCAAAGAACTCCACCTGCGGATCCAAGGCACGACATGGCGGCGTGAGAGGGGAAGTGGCGGCAACGGGCAGGCAGGAGGCTGCTGGGACCTGCGTCTTCGGCCTCCTGAAGAGCGGCTGCGGGCTGCCGCGCACCTGCCGGCGCTGCCGCACTGAGTAGCGCAGGGCAAACAGCTCCTTGTCGTGGTCTGGGTCGTCGGCACCGCCCTCCTGCACCCAGCGCCTCGACTCCACGTCAGCAAAGGGCAAAGGACAGCGTGCAGGGCAGCAGGGCGGGGCCGTGATGAGGAGACGCATGGGCAGCAACCACCCGCGCCCTCTCTGCCCTGCCCCACCTCGTCGCTGTCGCTGTCGCCCCTGTCCTGCTGGTAGGTGCGGCGCTTGCCAGAGATCTTGGTGGCGGGCGGGCCGTCCTCCTTGAGGGGCGGGGCCTCATCCTTTACGGGGCTGTAACGCTGCACCGTCTGGCGCACGCGGCGCTCGTACCGGGGCTGGAGCTCCGTGTCCTCGACCATGCCATCCTCCTCCTCGCCCTCGCTGCTCTGCAGCACCGGCAGCAGCGGCGGAGGCACCGTCAGCGCGGGCAAATGCCAGCAGGGCGCACCCCAGGTAAGGGCACGAGATGCAGCAGCTGCTGGGGGCACGGTGCTGCCCCGTTTGGGCGGAAATGCCACGTGCCTCGCTGCTGTCCTCTGCCTCCTCCTCCTCCGCTTCCTCCTCGTCCACCTCCCCATCAGATGGCTTGTCCTCCAACTCGTCCTCCTCATCCTCTGGCCCATCAAAGTAGGACTGCTTCTTTGGGCCCCCCGTCCGGCCACGCAGGTTGCGCCAGGCGGGGGTCTTGCTGCCGTGCAGCTTCTCAACATCCAGGCCACGCTTGTGTGCCTGCATGCCCCGAGGCAGGCGGGGAGCCAGGGGCAGCGGCACGGCAGCGGTGCTCGGGGAAGGGCAGACTAGCCAGGTGCACAGAAAAAGGAGTGCAGGAGGAAATGCAAACCCGAATCTGCCAGGTACCGCCAGCTGATCTGCACACCGCACCTCCTTTACAACGGGGTCCACACGGCGCCGCTCGCGCTCGCCGCCCTGTCCGCGTTCGCCGCTTCGGCGCTGCTGCAGACACAGGAGGGCGTGCCATAGGGCCTCTCCGCACTTGCCTTGCTCCCGAAAAGCAACGGCAGCCAAGGGCGGCAACGCCAGCGGCGGTGGCGACGCTCCTCCGCCAGCTGCAGGCAGCCACGGGCAGCGCTCCACCCACCCGCATCTCGCGGTCCGACCCCTCATCCTCACTGTGCACCCTCTGGTGCCGGGTGCTCACTCCCATTGTTTGCTGCTAGAGAGCTGCTGTTCAACAACGCGGCAGCATTAGCGGCACTGACTACTTGTGCACGCGCTAGGGGGCCGCTGCGCTGCTCCTACTGCCGCCCTGGCTGCCCTGTGCTGCGGCCAGGTGAGTTTGGTGGTGGGCAGGCCCTGCGCCGCTGGCGGGCGCAAACAGCAGCTCAACTTTTAAAAGACGGGTTCGAATGGCCTGCGGCAATGCTGGAGACGGCCTGGGGCAGCCACACAGGAAGAACGGGCGGCAAGCATTGGAAAGGCCTCCTGTGTTTTCGTCGTGTGCTGCCTTCCGGCCCTCCAGCTCATTCATTTCTTTTGTGTTGGGCAGGAATATAGCCCTGCAGCTCGTTTCATCCTGCGCCGCTGTCTAGCACTTCGCCTGTTGTGAGTCTCTCGCACAGCGGGCTTTGCACCCCTCCTGGCCCTCTCAGTCACCGATCATAGTGTCCAGCATGCGCCAGCAGAGGCGCTAGCGGCTGTTGGGCTCTCCAACTCGGGCATCGTCAGAGGGCGGGCGGTTGCCGCAGCGGCGGCGCGGCAGCAGCAGCAGCAGCGCAGAGGCGGGAGCCGCAGCAGCCCCAGGTAGCCCAGGCCATGGACATCTCGGGGTACCGCGGTGGGCACTACCATCGCAGCCGCAGCAGCGGCCTGATGCCGTCGACGTACGACCCCAAACGCAAGCCGCGCAGCCGCACCTCCGTCTCGCTGGCCTCCCGCGCGGTGCTCCTCCTCCTCTTTGTTGTGGCCGCGGGAGCGGGCATCCGCCGCGCCATGCACCGTGGCGATCCAGCCGGCCAGGACTCCGGCGCCAGCGGCGGCAAGGGTGCCTCCTCCAAGCGCGGTGCCGCAGCCCTGCCGCCGCCGCCGACCCAGGCAGCCAACGCCGCCGCCGACGCGCGGCGCGAGGCGCTGATGACGTCGCGCATTCAGCGTGCCATGCGCATCGTCCCCGTCTACCGCGGCGCCGGCAAGCTGGAGACGTTCCCGCACTTCAGCAACGCCAACCGCCTGCTGCTGGCCAGCCACGGCCGCCTGCTGTGGTACCGGTATGACGCGGACGAGGTGCAGGTGCTGCATGAGGGCGAGGTGAGTGTTTCCGGGCGAGATGGGTGGGTGGGTGGGGCTGGCTGGCTAGCCGAGCGGCACGAGTGGGCTGCTCATTCCGGGTGGAGGGCGGCTGAGCAGGGGAGTGGCGCCGGCGCCCGACTGCTGCGATTTTGGCATCCACCATCGCTCCGGTGATATATCAGTCTTGCCATTTGGGAGCCCACCCTGCCCTGCTGCGTGGGTGCTGCAGGGCGTGTATTATGGCGCCTTCCCTGGCATCGAGCGCGGCGTGCTGGGCGAGCCCTCCACGCTCTGGGTTGTGTCCCGCCCCCACAACTGGCGCCCCTCCAGCAGCCAGGAGTGGCTGCTGCACCTGGACATGGACAGCGGCAAGGAGCTGGGCAGGGTGCAGGTGGGGCAGGCAGGCCAAGAGGGAGGCGCAGGGGTGGCCGTCGCAGTCGGTGCCGGGTAGGCCGTCTGAGCCTTCCCTTGGCCGCTCCCCTTCCACCCCAACTCTCCCGCCGCTCGTGACGCCTCCCCTGTGCAGATTGCCAGCAAGTGGGCACACGACGCTGTGCGGCGGCGCGACCGCGTGTACGTGTGCAGCACCGGGGAGGGCAAGGTGCTGGAGCTGGCGTTCCCCAACATGACCATGGTGGGTGGAGGCTTGGTGGGCCTGCTGGCTGGTGGTGATGAATCTCGTGTCGCTGCTGCTCGCTGGTGCACCGAGCAGATCTGCCGAGCGCTGCCTCCCTCGTCCCCGCACTGGTGTTCGCAGATCCGGGAGCTGCCGCTGTTCACGCTGCGGGAGCACATCAACACGCTGGGGCCCACGGTGGACGGCAAGCTGTGGGGCGTGCTGCACAACCTGGGCGCCTCCTCGCTGGTGCAGGTGGGGCCATGGGGCCTGAGGTGCGATGGGGTGCCTCTTCCCTGCCACGTTGGCTGCGCCTGCTGCTGCACAATGGCTCCCTGCTGGTAGCCCCTGCGCCAGCCTACCCCCTTACCTCCCCTGCCTGCCTGCCTGCCCTGTATACCTCATGCCCGGCTGTTGCCTTCCTGCCCGCAGCTGGACCTGGCCTCTGGCAAGGAAGCGCTGCGCATCCCCAACGTCGGCGACAAGGCGCACGGCCTGGTGCTCTGGGGCGCCTCCATCCTCACCCTCGACTCTGACGGCGGCGCCCTGGCCCAGGTGGACCCCGCCAGCGGGGCGGTCAGGAAGCTGTGGCAGGTGGGAGCCGTGGCAGCGGGCGCTGCCGGGCGCAAAGGGCCCCTAGGGGAGCCGCTGCGCGGCCGCCATGCCATGCATCGCGCTCCTCGTGCACCGCACCCAAGTGATCGACTTGCACACCCACCCACCATCACACCACCACCGGCACCCACGCACCTGCCATCACGCCAATGCCCACATCCTGCCCACACGCTCGCCGGCCTGCCCCCGCAGATGAGCGACGGCGGCAAGTACCTGAAGGGCTTGTGCGTGGTGGACGACATTGCCTTCTTCGGCATCGCCGCCCGCACAGAGCGCGGGCGCCGCGACGACCCCACCCTCAACTGCGAGCTGGCCGCCTTTGACCTGCGCACGCAGCTGCTGCTGTGGAGGCGCCAGCTGCCCACCAAGGGCCTGCTCAACATAGGTGGGCGGGCAGGCGGGGAGCCATGGTCGGAGGCTGCCCCTCTGCAGTGTGTCGCCTGCCGGCTGCCACCAATACCGCTGCCCAGCCTACCATCCCTCAACCCGCTTTCCGACGCCCCCTGGCCCCTCCCTCGCGTGCGCGCCCCGCAGTGGCGGCGCCTCACCTGGTGGTGGAGAGCACCACCTACTCCATCAACACTGTGGACCAGATTGGCTACCGCAGCAAGAAAGCGTACGGGGAGGCGCTGGACGTGGTGCACAAGTGGCAGCTGCACCAGGAGCACGAGGCGCAGGGCATGCAGAAGGTGGCGCAGCATGGCGGCGGTAGGGCCGCGGACCAAGGGCAGGAGCAGGAGGCGCAGCATGGCAGCGGCGCTACAGGGCAGGCCCACGAGGCGCAGGCTGCGCAGCAAGGGCAGCAGGGGGCCGGTGCTCGGGACGCGGCAGCAGGGAGCGGGCAGCAGCAGCAGCAGCAGCAGCAGGGGACGGGGGTGGAGGCGGGGGCCGGCGAAGTGCGGCAGCACGTGCAGCAGGGTGTGCAGCAAGATGGGCAGCATGAGGAAGCTGGGCAGCAGCAGCAGCAACAGACCCATGGCGCGGCTGCCGATGACCAGGATCAGCAGCACCACCAGCAGGAGCATGTACAGCAGCAGGGGCAGGACCAACAACACGAGGGGCGCCAGCAGCAGCATGCGGGCGTGGCACGGCGTGGTTTGATAGAGGTGGAGCCTGTGGCTGCAGATGACCCGCTGGCCAAGGTGCCGTCGCTGCCACGCTGCCCTGCACTGTGCCTGCATGGTTGGCAAGGGGCCAGCCTGCCATGCGCGCTGCATTGTGCCCGTGCTTCTCTTGGAGGTTCCTGCCCTCCCCACCCACCCTTCGCCGGCCTGCCCATTTGCTTGCCTCCTGTGCAGTTCCCGCCGCGCCTCGACCCCGTGCGCTGGTCCAGCGGCCTGCCGCGCCTGCTGCTCAGCGCCAAGGACAAGGAGCACGGGCTGGCAGCGGGGGCGCAGCTGCGCCTGCTCCGCACCGACACCTCGGGCCTCAAGGCGGCGCTGCGGGCGATGCCGGATACCGACTGGAATGGTGCGTGGGTGTGATGGACGCACGGAGCTGGGCTAATGGGCGGAGCTGAGATGTAACCAGCGATGAGGGCGATGGTGCTGCCCTCGGTGCTGGTGTGCCTTGCTGGCATGTCCTGTGCCGGTACTGGCGTACATTGAGCTTTGGTGTAGCGCAGCCACACCTGTCACTGCTGCCATGCTGCAGAGGAGACGCAGCGCGTGTCCAACGCCTGGATTGAGGGCCGAAGCAAAGTGCTGATTAAGTTCAAGCCAGGGGCCCGTTCAATCATGCTCATTTTTAGCGATCAGAGCGGAACTGGCGTGTACCGCTTCCCCTGGTACGACCGCTTCAAGCAGTGGGTGGAGCCCTGGCTGGTGCAGGTGCGGGTTTTGGGTTGAAATGGGCTGCTCCCAGCCTCCCCCACAATGTGCTTTGCACAATGCGATGCCAAGGCCGGTGTCCGAAGCGCCGGCTCGCCTGCGTGTGCCCCCCGCAGGTCCTGGGCCCGGGCGACCTGGACAAGGTCATGCGCCTGCAGCTGGCCTTCATGCCGCCGCACTCTGACATCAAGCGGCACATGGACAGCGGCGGGTATGCTGCCGTCGGGCACCGCATCCATGTGGTGGTGCAGTCCAACCCGGGTGAGATGGCTTGGGGTGCCTGCTGGGGTTTGACCTTTTGATTGGAGGGAGGCCTGAGCAGTGTGGTGGGCAAGACAGCACAGGTACCAACACCATTACTGCCCGCTCACTCTGCCCGCAGACGTGGTCTTCCATGTGTGCGAGTCACAACAGGCGGCCCAGGCTGCAGGTCGGGGCAGTACAGACACGCCCACGTGCGTTCCCCTCCACGTGGAGGAGGGGCTGGTGTTTGAGCTGAACAACCGGCTGGCGCACTCTGTGACCAACGGCGGCGACCAGCCCCGCATCCACTTGATTCTGGATGTGTCCGACACGCCGCGGCAGCAGCGCCAGCTGCGCGTCGGCGAGGTGTGCCGCTATGTGAAGGCGCGGGTCGTGTGCCCGGAGCTAGAGGGCCAGGAAGCGCACGGTGGCGGCGACGTGCTCAGGAGATAGCGGCCGCGAGCCTGTGCCCTTTCCCTGTGGATGGTATCCCGCTTGTGTTGTAAACAATTTGGAAGATCTAGGGCTTTCTGCCACCAGCCATGGTAGACGGCAGGCTCCGCCTGCTGCTCCTCGAGGGGTGCTTGTGTCAGGCAGGGCGGCTGGCGGCCAGGTAGGCCTCCCGATCACCGGTCCCCTCCTGGCGGGGGTCATGCATCCCCCACCCATCATGCATTTCAGGCTTCATCTCCCTCAAACCTCCACCATTTTCCCTCTCGTTTGTCGTGATCGACTCCGGGTAGCCCAAATGCTTCATGACTCCCCCCAAGCTGCACATCAGCGTGCATGAGTCCAACCCTGGGAGGCGCCTTGACAATGAACAGCCGCGCAGGCAGGCATCTAAAAGACCAGGTCAGGCTCCTCCTATAAATCATCCCGGGCAGCGCAGCCGGCGCCATGCCGAGGCGGGGCCAAACACCTCGAGCAGCAGCGGCTGGTGGAGCGAGCGGCAGCAGCGCAGGCACGATGCTTGGGACGACAGGAGAGAGGCGGACGAGCAGATGATGCTGGCCACCACACCGCAGCGGGCGGCGCTGCAGGCGGGGCAGCGGGCGGCAGAAATCCAGCAGGTTCAGGCGCGGCTGGACAGCACGGAGCCACTGCGCTGCTGCCCA